GCGGGGCGGCGCGGGGCTCGGCGGGCCGCGGTGACGGGAAGATGGGCGCGGTCTCCCGGGTTGGCTCCCGTCCTGCTTGCTTTTGCGCAGTGTGACCTTGAGACACTTGCCTAACCTCTCTGAACCTCGGGTCCCTGCTGGACCCCAGCGTGGTGGCGGGGCCGTCGGGCGGGGCCCCTACCCGGTGCGGCCACCTTCCCACGCACCGCCCTGCCGCCCCGGGGCAGGCAGCCGGGGATGGGCAGGCCGGAAGTTGTTTCCTTGACGGCCTGGCGTGAGTGCGAGCCGGAATGAAGTTCTGCCTCGGGGCCGGGGGCACTGGGAACTCCTTGAAAGGAGCCTGGGCTGGAGGCCGGGGCAGGAGGATGGTGTCGAGGCCTCTGGGGGCAACTTACTGAGATCCTATCTCAGTTTTTTTGCCTGGAAGATTCTTGACCAGTGGCTCTTGGAAGAAGCCCACTCTTGAACAAGATCCTCCTCAGCCGCTGCTAGTGCTTTGGGAGGCCCCAAGAAGCCCTGGGAACGCGGCGGGGAGTGTGGGTCTCAGGCTGGTCACAGCCAGCCTTGCTCTCTGACCCTCACATCTGCTGCTTGGCCCAGGAGCAAGCCGGGCTGTTACCATGGGGCACTGTCGCCTCTGCCATGGGAAGTTTTCCTCGCGGAGCCTGCGGAGCCTGTCTGCCCAGGCACCGGGGGAGCGTGCAGAGAGACCATCCTCTGGGGAGCCGCTCTTCATCAGGGACTTCCAGAGCCTGCTGGGTGTGGCTGTGCTCCGCGACCCAGCCCTGCCCCAGTTTGTCTGCAAGAACTGCTACTCTCAGTTCTACCAGTGCCACAGCCTCCTCAGGTCCTTCCTACAGAGAGTCAACGCCTTCCCGACCGGCCCGCGGAACCCTTGTTCCAAGTAGGCTCTTGTTTCATTGCTTGGGATATTCAGGGGTCCCAAAGCCCGTGTCCTGCCTGCTGTTATAGGGAAGGAAGTGTGCTGGTGGTGGGCGGATGAGCCATACCTGCTCCTGTGAAAGCTAGTGTGAGTGCCACAGTACTGCTAAGAGATGAACAGGGGAGAGCAAGGTTTGCACAGGTCTAAGGGAAAAGTACCGCTGTCTGCCGAGGGTTACTGTGGAGAGGGGTATCTGGGAAAGACTGAGACTTCAGAGGCTCCTCTCAGGGAGTCCTGTAGGCCCAGGCTACAGGGCTGCTCATGGACACACCAATTCTTTGTAGGACTGGTGCTCAGCTCCCCACAGTGGCGGAGGAGGGTGCTTGTCTGGGTGAGTCCACCCCTGGTCCTGTGGTGGGCTTGGCAGTCTGGGCTGGGTGTTGGCCAGCCACAGGGCTCATAGCTTTGTTGACTCTCCTCAGTTGACCTGATCACTTCGAGCCCCCGCTGCCTACACGGCTTGGTGGGGTGGGTGCACGGACACGCGACTACCTGCAGGGCCCTACCCAGCCTCCGGGGGACGCTGACCTCCGAGTATTATGGCATCATCCAGACAGTGTGGGGCTGTGGCCAGGGCCATGACTACACCATGGACATGGATGCAAGCCGCAGAGCCCCCTTGCTGGACAGAGCGCTGGCAGTCAAGTGGGTGAGGGACAAGGAGACCATACCACGGCGAGCCCAGGACTTGAGGTCTAACCCCACTGGGGCTGCCTCTCAGCTCTACCAAGGCAGAGGAACCACAGCTGGGGCTGAGACCAAAATGCTGCCCACCCTGGATAAGGCCCCACCACCTTCAGAGGACAACTCTTTGGGACCTGGGCCAGGGCCCCAGTCTCAGCCAAGCCTGGCCCCCAGTGAGGCTCCAGGTAAGAGGCATCTTTGGCCTGTTACAGACCTACACTCGTTCATATTCTCTCTCTCTCCCCCTCCCTCCTTCCCTCCCCTTCTCTCTCCCTCTCTCCCCCCCCTTTCTTACCCTCCCACTCCCCCTTCCTCCCCCCCCTTCTCTCTCTTTTGTGCCAGTACTGGGACCTTGTGCTCTTTTTTTCTTTTGTTAAAGGCTGGCTCTCTACCACTTGAGCCACAGTTCCAACTTCCAGTTTTTTGGTGGTTAATTGGAGACAAGGGTCCCACAGACTTCTGCTTGGGAAAGACTCAAATCATGATCCTCACATCTCAGCCTCCTGAGTTGCTAGGGTTACAGGTGTGAGCTTCAGCGCCCTGACTGGAGTCCTGTCTTGAGCTGGGTGGCATTTCCTGCAGAAAGCCGTCTGGGCATCATAGTCCTAGTGTGGTGAATAAAGGAGCTGGTGGGAGAAGACCGGGAGCCAGCCCGAGTGCCCTGGAATGGCAGCTGCCCATGATAGCTGAGAGCAGGGATGAGCCGCCCGCCTGGCTGGGCTTCTCGTTCCTCCACGAGGGAGAAGGCCCCTGTGTCACCAGAGCTTCCCAGTGTCCAGTCATCCTCTAAGCCTGTGCTTAGGGCAGAGGGCACTGACTGTTCCTGTGGGCTGAGGGGACTGAAGGAGAGAGAATGGGATTCTTGTCTGTGGGGCATGGATGTAGGCCAGTGTGGCAGCCTCTTCTGCTGACTTGCTGAGGGCAAACAGGGCCCCTCTGTGGGGCCTGGACTCCACCCCTGTGCTGTGGGTTGTATACAGCTACTGCTGGGGTGTTAGGTTAGGAGGCCCTGGGACAGACTTCTGATTACCTTTGGACTTCTCTGTGAGTGTTCATCTGGTTTCTACATGAAAATCCAGAGTGGGTCTACAAAAAAAACGTAGGTACCTAGGTGGTTTGGCTAGTTATAGTAACCCAGATGAGATGACAGCTCCAGAGGGGAGCTTGGCTTTATAAACCGTACACAAGCTATTTTGATAACAACAGTCTTAAAAAATGGCTGGGAGTTGGTAGTTCATACCCGTAATCCTAGCTACTCAGCAAGCTGAGTCCTGGAAGACTGCCCACTGGGCAGGAACACTTCCCATTAACTAGCAAAATCCTGGAATAGAGACATGGCTCAAGTTGCAAAGTGCCAGCCATGAGCAAGAAAGCCAAGCAAGCATGAGGCCCCCGAGTTCAAGCCCTGTGTTTCATCCCTCCAAAAAAGGAGCAAAGAACAGCCCTGGGAGGCTGTGGAGAGGGCCAGGCTTGCTGGCCCGTGGTGCTGCCTGGGGCTTTTGGACATGAGGCCCGCTTAGTAAGGGCAAGGGCTGGGAGTGGAAGGAGGCAGCAGCTGAGGCCAGAGCACCCGAGGGTGTCATTAGACAAGGAGAGTGCCCCTTGCAGGCGAGACTCTTTTCTGTTTGGTGTTGGTGACCAGAGTCTGTTCTTTGTTTCCCAGGGCAACTGGGTGAGAAGCAGGTTCCATCTCCAACCTCGGATGATCGGGTAAAAGACGAGTTCAGTGACCTTTCTGAGGGGTGAGACAAGAGTGGGTTTAAAAAGCCTAAAATTTCTTCTTCAAAAACCAGACTCAGCTTCCCTAGAGCTGCTGCAGACGGGCTCTCCCTCCCTCTGAGGGGCGGGAGTTCAAGGTGTCTGGCTCCTTACTGGGCTTCTAGTCCCAGAGCAGCAGGCCTGTATTACAGGGAAGCAATGTTGATTCTGGAAGAGCAGTGTGGAGTTGCTTGTCTGACCTGCCCCAGGCTTGGTCCTCTGCGATTGCCTATACATTTGTTCCTTAAAGGCCTTAGGTTTGTGCCAACCCCAGATATTGCAAGAACAGAGGACCCCAGGTTCTGGCCCTTGGGGATGGTGATACTGAGCTAGAAGCAGAGGCTTTCTCCTAGAGGGGAAGAGGAGAGCTCCCCCTAGAAGGGCACAGCTGGGTGTGTCAGCTGAGTCCAGAGCTGCTGCCTCACGAGCTCAGGTGAAATGCACATGCACCTTTATCCCCATTGGGAGGCACAACCCCGCAGAGCGTCGGGGGTTCTTAGACTGCTAGCAGCCTGGGCCTCCCTCCATCCGGCTGCTGACCACTTGTGGGGGAACACCCAGCCTTTCTAGTCTGGCTGTGTTTGCTGTCTAACAAAGCCGAATAGTGATTTACATTTAAGGGTGAAGGTCACAGATTGTTTTCTTGCCTTTGTGAACTTTGAAATGCTGACAGTCTGTCAGCTCGAGTTCTTGATTATTGGGTGATGTGCTAATGTTCTCAGAGTACACCTATTGGGAGGCTCACCTCCAGCTTCCATGTTCTCTGGGCCCCATAGGAAAGCTCTTTCTGAATTGGAGTCCTGGCCTAGGAATGTTCACTTATGGGGCGATTGCTAGTTGTTTGATGCCAGTGACCCCCAGCTTGCCCTTCCTGTTAGGAAATGGATTGGGAGCTTGTGGATTTTAGATTTCCTGAGACCTTTTCAGAAGGAGTGAAGGAGGGGTGGGATTTGTGTGCTATGGGATTTGTGTGGTATCTTCAGACAGGAAAACCTGCTTGGGTCTGCATGTGCTCCAGGCAAAGGCTCTACTGAAGGCGCTCTCATCTCTCCTAGAGACTTCCTGAGTGAAGAGGAAAACGACAAGAAGCAAAACACACAGTCCTCGGATGAGTCCTTTGAGCCTTACCCAGAAAAGAAGTAAGGGTGCAGCCTTGCCTCCAGTACATGGGCCGAGGGTGGCATCAGAGTCTACATGGTAGCCATGGGGTTGGGGCATGGAGAGCCCGCGCACTGGCCAGCTTCCACCAAGATGGGAGGAGGCAAGTTGGAAAGGCCAGGTGGGCTGACCAGGCAGTGGAAGCAGAGTTCCCATTGTGCCTGTCACGTCCTTTTGGTGGTTTGGGGACCTGATCTGAGCTAGCAGACAGTTCCAGGGCCTTCGCAGTCCTATGTCATGTGCCCTCTGAAACCCAGGGACCTAGCCTGTTGGCTTCTGACAAACACTACTTATTTCTGTGGCCAGGCAGTTGTGGCCCGTGTCCTCGTTGTATGCTTTTGTGACTCTTGCCTTGACTTTGCTTTTCAATGGTTTCAATGGCTGGTTTCTTTGGTTTGTCTTTCAGCCAAGAAAATTTTACAAAAAGGTTGAGAATAAACTGAGTTTTTTTTTTTTTTGGGGGGGGGGCTATTCCGGGGCTTGAACTCTCGGCCTGAGTGTTTTCCTTGAGCTTTTGTGCTCAAGGCTAATGCTCTACACTTAGCCACAGCTCTCCTTTTGACTGGGCTTTCTTGCCCAAGCTGGCTTTGAACTGTGATCCTCAGATCTCCCGAGTAGCTAGGATTACAGGTGTGAGCCACCAGTGCTTGGCATTTTTGTTTGTTTGTTTTAAATCAGTTTACATTTGTTATGGGGGGGTGATGGTGGGATTTGATATATTTCCATACATGTTTACAATATTTTCCAATCAACCTTTCCCACTCTATTACTTTCTCTTCCCCAAACGATTTCAACCGCTTTTCTTGTTTCAGCTATTTTCATAGTTGCAAATAATTCAACCATATTTATTCTTTTTCTTCCTTGTTAGCCCAACCCCCTCCTGCTAGGGTACACCTTTCCCAGCTCCTATTCACCAACAGCTTTCATTGGGGTTCTTTATGCTATTTTCATTTGTACTTGGAATGTATTTCCAAAGGCCCCCCCTTACTGTGGAAGTTCTGACATTTGTTTTGGAAAGAGAAGTAAGGAAGAGATCAAAATAAGAATGTACAGCTGAGCTAGAGTATGCCAGTAGCCAG